TTTTATATATACTTTTTAATAATAATATATATAAAGCTTTTAAAGCTTAATATTAGGTTATTAATAAATGTTCTAGACTATACTTTAAGCTATTTAGGGTCTTTTTATTCTGCGGATCTATATTTAATTATTATTTAAATATACTTAAAATAGAATTAAAGAAAAAATTAATCTAAAAAATAAAACTAAGTATTAAGGAAAGCGGAATTAGGATTTTTATAAGATCTACTAAAGATAGCTAGCTGTTAAAAGTAGTCTCTACTTTTAAATAAATAAGCTAAGCTTAAAAAGGTTTAAAGCTTTTTTTCTTAGAAGTTTAAATATAAGATATAATAGCGCTTATATATAATATTATTCAATATAATATAGTTTTAAATTTATAATTATATATTTTATTACTAAATTATTGGAATATTTTACTATTAGTTACTAGATATATATATTACTTTCTAATTTTTTTTTAATATTTAGCTAAAGTTTAAATATAAATTTTAATAATAATATAGGAAATACTTCCTCTATTAATTAATTAACTATTAGTTAATTAACTATTCCTATTAATTTTCTATATAAAAGCAATAGTACTAAAATCTATTAATAGAGCAAAGAAAACAATACTGCTTTCTAGACTTAGTAGTAAACTATATCTTAGTTTTAAAAAAAGCTTAAATAAAAGGTAAAAATCTATTAGGGCTCTTAAAATTAGGAGTTTAATAATTGAAAATTATATATTAAAAATATAGGGGTATATAATAGTAAACCTTATATAGTTTATATATAATATAATAAATTTTTAGTATATCTTTAATATAAGTCGGCTAATAATATAGTAATATTAAACTACTTTAAAATAGATAAATATAAAAAGTTTATAAATATTAGGGGATTAAAGTAGTTTAAGATCCGCACTAGTATTTTAGAGTAGGTTAATTATATTTTACTTTTTTTTATTAAGCTTAATAAAAGAATTAAAAAGAAATTAATAGAAAGTTTAAAATAAATTAATAAAAAGAAACTAATATTATAATAATCCTAGAGATTATAAGCTAAAGCTAAGAAAGCTATAATTAATAATTATAAATTAATTTAATTTAATTTTAAAAATATATTCTTATAAATAGTTATTATTATTAGAATATTTTATAATTTTACTAATAGTATTTTTATTTAATATTTAGTTTTATACTTAAATCTTAATATATAGCTGCTAAGTATATTTATAATTAGAAATAAAATACTTATTAAATAAAAGAGCTTTAAACTTGCTTTATTAAGTATATTGCTAATAGAAAAAATAAAAGTTTTATTAGCTTTAGATAGCTAGTTACTTTATAATTAATTAACTTATATAGGGATTATTATATATTTTATTAATTTTAATTAAATATATTATAAAATAATAATTAAATTTAAATATATTAAAAAGCTTTATTTTAGTATTAATTTCTATTTATACTTTGCTAAAGTTATATAATACTATTATATTGAGAATTATACTTATATTATTATTATTAATAATATAAAAAATATAGGTACTCTATTTTATAAAATAGTTTCTAAATATTATAAAATAAATAAAAAATCTAAATAGATATTTATTACCTAAAATACTAAGTATATTCTATATCTTGCTTATATTATTTAATTAGTATTAAAAGAGATATTAGGCGCTATAAAAATTAAGTTTTTAAATAATAAATTATAAAAAAACTAGGATAATAAATAAAATATATAAGAAATAAAATTAATATATTTAATAGACTTTTAAACTTTATTATAGCTTTTAGCTAAAATAAAAAAACATTTTTCCCCTTTTTAAGGTTTCTATTAATATTTATAATAATTCTATTAATTTTAAGCTTTAGCCTTATTAGCTAATACTAAATATTATTTAATTAAAGAAATTATCTATATATATAAATATAAGCAGTTAATATAAGTCCAAATTCTGCGCAATATAATAGGAATAGATTAATAAAACTCCTAAGTTTTTAATTAAAAATAAAGCTAAATTAAAAGTAAAACTAAAACTTTTAAAGCTTATTTAAAATATTATTATTTAATAGGATTTAATATTTTATATAATAGCGTATATATTCTATCTTTACTATAATTTTAAACTTTTTTTTAAAAACTAAAGCTATAACTATTTATAGCTTTCTATAGATAAATAAATAACTATTATTTATTTAATAAATATTATAAAGTAATTTATAAAATTAATTTATATTATTAGTTATATAAAGATAATAATTATATTTTAAGTATTCTTAATTTATAATAAACTTTTTAATTATTTTAAAAATATATAAAGATATTTTAAGTATAAATATATACTCTAGAAAACTAAGATAAAAAGGGCATTATAAATAGCTAAAACGAAATTATGTTTTTATTATATAAAAACTAAAAAAAGCCTTAGGTTTTTTTATAATAAGGCTACGCTTTTAGATCTAGCTTATAGCAATAAAATATTTAAAAGTATAGGTTAAAATACTTATAATAGATATAAATTATAGGCCTCTTAATATTAGTAATTATTTAAAAAGAAATTTAAAAATAAAAAGTAGTCTTTATTTTATATTAAGTATTTATAAAAAAGCTTAACTAAACGAATATAATATAAAATAGATAATTACTTAGCTTTAATTTTTATATTAGATAATAGTAATAATAAAAAAAGGAGTATAAATAAAAGTAAGTTTATATATTATTATAAGAATAACAGAATATTATTCTAAAAAAGTATAAAAATATAAGCTATAATATTAATTATAATTTAATATTTTAGAAGTTATTTCTAAATAATAATATTTTATTATAATAGAAATTATTAGCGCTTAATTATTTAATCTTAAGTAAAGTTGCTTGCAATATCCTAGCTATAATAATTAGTAAAGTTAAAATTAAAAAACTTTTTTTATATAGCTTTAGGCTATATAATAATAAGTATTAGGCTTTAGCTACTTTTTAAGCTTATATATTACTCTATAAGTATAATTAGAAATAAGAGTAATAAAACTTTTATAAAGTAATATATATAGATAATCTTTTTATAAAAAATATAGCTAAAGTAAATAAAAAATAAAAAGAGGAAGCTTATTAAGCTAATCTTAAAGAAAGGTAATAGTATAAAGAAAAATAGGGATAAGTAAGTAATACTAAAAATAAAGAAAATACTAGCCGCTCTATATAAAATCTAAGATTAGTAAAGGTATATAGCTTAATATATTAATAATAGCTAACTAGTATTATTAGATTATTAAATATAAAGTAAATAAATCTTTTTTTTTATTAATTTTAATAAGCTTTAAAGCTTAATTTCTATTAATTATATAAAATATATTATCTAATTTTTATTAATTTTTTTCTTTATGTTATCCGATTTTTATTAATCTTTTTTATAGTATATTTCTAAATTAGGCAAAAGGACTTATACTTAATAAGTATCTATATTATAGTTTTTAACTTTAAAATAAAAAAAAACTAGAATAATATCTTTATTTAATTGAACTTAAAAGAATAAATATAATTCTAATAAATTAAATAATAATAACTATAATAATAATTAGATTTAAAATCTATTTAAAGAGCTATTTTTACTATAAATACCTATAAAGCTTTAAGCTTCTTATTCTTTAAATTTTCTAAAACTTTAAGTATAAATTATATAAAAACTTAGTTTTTTTAAAAAGTAAATATAAATAAATAAGTAGTTAAGATATTATTTTAAGTTATATATATTTTTACTAGATTTTGCTAGATTTTTCTATATATAGATTTATTACTAGGTTAAACTATTAGGTTTTTAAACTTAATTTAATTTTAATTAAGTTAAGTTAAAGCCTTTATAACTTAATTTAATAACTTAACCTAATCCTACTAGTTTGGGTTAAACTACTAGGTTAACCTATACTAATCTAAAGTATATATTAGGCTACCTTTATCTAACTAATAATATAACTTTAATAATAAATATTTATTATAATGTTATTTTAACTAGTATTATTGATTTTAGTTTAGCTAGAACTACTTATTCCTATATAATAAATATATATAGCTTATTTTCAAAAGCTTTATATATTTTAAAAATTATATAGTATAAGTCTATAGAATCTCTATATTTAATAAATGTTAAAAATTATTATTTATTATATTAGTAGAATATATAATATATAAAAATATTATTATTTTTATTAATAGTTCTCCCTAGAATATATATAAATAAGATTTTTTATATAAGTTAAAAATAGCGCCTATTTTATTAATATCTATTTATAAAAAAAAATTTATAGGAACTATTTCTTTTATATACTTTTAAATGCTATTTAATATATATTATAGTTTTTTTATTTAATATTATTTAAGAAAACTTAGATACTAAGTATTAAAAATAAAATAGGGTATTAAATTAAATAAAATATTAAAATTAAAATAAATATAAAAGCAAAGTATTAATAAGTACTTATTATAATAATACTTTAACTAATATATTAGCTTTTTTAAACTAGTAGACCTTGTCTTTTCTTTATTTTAACTATTATATATATTTAAAATAAATTTAAACTATATATTTTAAATAATAATATAATTTTATTAATTTATATTTACTTCCCTTGTTTTTATAACTAGCTTTTAAAACTATTAGTATTTAGCCTTTTTAGTATTAGTCTTTTAGTAGTTTTCTACTTTATAGAAGCTTTAAAATTCCTATAGCCTATTAAATTCTTTATTAAATTTTTAACTTTCTATATCTCTAAGCTATCTTTTTTTTTATAAATTATTTTCGATTTATATCCCCTTTTTACAAAAACGCTTGCTTGAGCCTAGTCGCTATGAGTAATACTAATTTAGAAGGCATTGTAGTAAAGCTTAGCAATCGAAGCACTAGCACTACGATAGAATTCCTCCTCGAGGACTTGAAGTAAGGAGTAACAATCTGCTAGACAATCATCTGGCCTCTCCATCACGCGGTTTGGATCACCGATTGCGTCGTCCAGATGTTGGATTTGGAGGCGGCGAGCGTCGCTGATTTGGAGCTCGAGAAGTGGGAGGGAGCAGACACTGCAATTGCAGTCGAAGTCGAACGCATCTTTCAGATGGGTGCGTCGGGAGTCGGAGGGACCGCCTTTGTCATAGGAGATGGTGATTTCTTCCCCGGCATTGATATGACGGATTGCGTGGATGGTTTCACACTTTGTATCGCTGTTCCAACTATTGTGAGCATTTGGAAGACAGCTGTGATTGATGAGGCAAATGGTAGGATAGATGCCACCAATCACGGAGTTGGGACCGCAGGGCAAAGCGTTGGTTTTGACAACACCGCTGAATGGGTGTTTGCCAGGGAAACTGTTATGAAGCAAAAGGAATTGTCGTTGCTGGGTCTTTGATAGCGCCTTTAGCTTCGTTGCAATATTACTTTCCATTTGGCTAATTGGCGACAGGTGTGGAGTGGTAAAAAGGGGGTTCTCGTAAAGTATACGTGTGCCTTTGGCAATGTTGAAGCGAGCTACAAGACCTTTTCCCTTGCCTGGGACCGTCTGGATCTCAAAGAGTGGCAGGTCCAACTCACGTATAGGGTCGGTCCCAAACACGAATTAAGCTATGGTAGTTGGGATTTCCGGTTCATCGGGCTAACCCAGGTTAAGAAACCCTCAACAATCATATTGAGTGGACCATAACCAACCTGCTCGTAGGATTCAATCGAGCCATTAACCTCTGGCCAGCTGTAAAAGCCCTATACATCGGTAGCCTCGTCCCAGCGTTGGACCCGAGAGCTAAAGCTTACCTGTACGACCCGAGTAATTGTATCAATATATTTCTCTATTCTTTTAGCATAACTTCCTAAAGTTTTTAAGCTAAAACGCAAGAACTTATAACTTTCGAAAAAGAGTAGAGGATATTCGCCCACTTTAAATAGGATATAATTAAGTTTAATCTCTATTAAATTATTATTTTAATAAAGTTTTTTTATAACTTTAATAAAAGATTATTAATTTTACTTATTTATTACTTTTTTAGATAAATAAGGGACTATATTAAACCTAGTATTAATTCTTATAATTGCTAATTATATTAATAACTAAATAAGTATAAAAAATAGTTTATTAAGCAATAATTTAATAATTAAAAAGAATCGCTAATTAAATAGCAAAAAGTTTAAGATATAGTATAATATTTAAAGACAAAATATTTTATTATTATAATAGTTATAAACTTTTTAATATACTATAAAAAATATATTTTGCTTAGAACTAGCTAAAAGTGGAAAAGGTATTATTTTATTTATATTAGAATTTTTCTTATATTAAAGTTTTTTATTTAAACTAATTCTTAAATATAGCTTAGCTATATTAACTTATTCCTAGGTTTAAAGACAATTTTATTAAATATAAGTTAATAAGTTCTTAATTATAAGCTAAAAAAAATAAACTTTATAACTATTTATTTTTAATATAATAAAATAAATTCTATTTTTAATATAAACTATATAATCTTAGCGCTTTAAAATAAAACAAAAGCTTTTATTATTTTAAATTATTTATTAGAAATAGAGTAATAAAGAATATTCCCTAAACTAATATTAGTTTTATTTTTAATAATAACTTTTTTTTATACTTAAGAGCTTATAACTATTAAATAATATTTAGCTAAAGTCTATTAAAACTAGTAGAATATTTTAGCCTTATAAAGGAACTACTTTATTAAATATATTATTTAAGTTATTCTTTTTATTTTATTTAGTTCCCTATTAATAATTACTATTCTAGAAATCTTTATAAAAATTATTACCTATATTAATCTACTATATAGTTGCTACTTTTATAAGGTAGAATTAATTAGAAATAATATTTATTATATTTACTATAAACTTTAATTAATTAATATTTATATTAAAGGCTTTTTAATAACTTTTTATAGCTTTAATATATTAATTAAAAATAGTATAACTTTCTAGCTAGCGCGAAGCTTTATTTTATATAAAGACTTTTAAAATTAGTAAAGTATATTTTAAACTATTATTTTTAACATATTAATATTCTATCTTTTTTAATAAATTATAAAATTAATAAATATAAAAACTAAGCTTAACTTTAGATATATAAATTATTTTATAATAATCTAGTGCTAGTTTAAAGATTTTATATTTATTAGTTAAATTAGTAAATTTTTTTAAAGTAACTATTATAATTAATTATTTTATTTCTTTTTTTTTACCCTCTATTATTACTTAGTTATTATTATTACTTCTTAAGTTTTATAAAGCTTAAAATATTAATCCCCTTATTAATTAAATCGATAATAAATTATAGAGTATAGAAAAAGAACTAAAATATAATAAGTTTATTATTTTTATAAATTATAAAATATTTTTAAATAACTTTTAATAAGTTTTTATAATAATTATAGCTATATTATATTATATTACTCCCTGCTTATTAGGTAAAAAAGAGCTAAATCTATTTTTTTAAGTATTTATAGTTTAGTAAAGTTTTTTATAAAGTTTTATTTTTTAATAATAAATTTAGTTAATAACCTAAGTAATATCTAATATTATTTTAAATAATTAATTATAATTAAGAGCTATATTAATATAAAAATAAAATACTACCTTTAATATAAATTAAATAAAAAAAAGGTTAAGATTATAAATAGATTAAAGGATTAAAATCCTAGAAAAAAGAAATAATAATTTAGTTTAAGAATTATTAATTTTATTAAATACTAAGAAGGTAGGGAAAAAAAAGGCTATAAAGATAAATAGATCTTTCTAAATTACTTAGTATATAAATAATAATTTAATTCTTTTTATAGCTTATTAAATTAGATATTTAAATTAGAATAAAGAAATATAATAAATAATTTAAGAACTATAAAGTAGAATAGATTAAGTTTTTATTTATATATAGCTATATCTAAATATAGCTATTCTATTAAATAAATAAAATCTTATATATCTCTTTTATATTATTTTAATTATAATATAATAAATTGAAGAAAGCGCTATCTATAAATAGCTTTCCTATATATAAAATTATTTAGCTTTAGTAGAGTTTTATTATATATATTATATAGTCTAAGACTAATTAGCTAAGTTTTTGCAAGTTACTAAGTAAATTCTCCCCACGCTAGCTGCCTTTATTATAGTGCTAAACTAGATAAAATAAATAAAAATAAAAAAAAGGTTTATTATTTTAATTTTTAATTAATTAAATAATAAATAAAATTAGAAAAAAAACTTTATCTAAGTAAATAATTAATAAATCTTAAAATAACTTTAGTTTAATATAATTTTATAGTTTAGAAATAGTATTTTATTACTTATATTATTAGAATTTATTAATTATAAATAAAATTTTTTTTATAATCTAGGTTATCTAGAATATTATTAAATTAGATTAACTTCTATTAATAAGTTTTAATATTTAGATAAAAGGAAACTTCTTAAGCTATTAGATTATTTTAATAATAATATAAATTTCTAAATATTATTTAAAACTATAAATAACTTTTTTCTAAGTTTATATTTAGATTTAGTTAAAAGTAAGTTAAATAATATATATTAAATAGATATCTTAGCTAATAAGTATTATAATAGATTTTAACCTAATTAACTTTATTTGTACCTAAATATTTATTTAATATAATTAGTTATTAATTTATTTAATTTATTTCTTATTTTTACTAACAATTCTATTACTTATAATACTGCTGCAAGTATAAAGTTCTTAACTTTAACTTTTTTTAAATAAGATTTATACTATTGTTTTTTAATAGATATTTTCTTTTTTTCTAATCTAGATAAGCTAATTAGTTTCTTGCTTTTTAAAGTTATTATAAAGTAGTATTCTAATAGGATTATTATAAATTATTATATTTAATAAACTATTTATTTAGAAGATAGAGAAATATCTAAATAGTCCTTTATATAGTCTTTTATATTATACATTTAATAATAAAATATTTATTATTATTAAATATTATTATTCGTTTATAGCTATTACTAATAATTAGCTATTTTTAATATATTTAAATATACTCTATACTACTATAATACTATAGGTAATTATAGTATATTAATATTAACTTTTATTATAAGTATTATACTTTAGTTTTAAATTAAGTAATTATTTATTTTAATAGTATTTAAGTATTTTAATTATAGTATAATAAAACTATTATAAATAAATATAGTAAAACTTTAAACTAGTACTATAAAAAAGTATATAGCTTTAGTAGCTATATTATTTAATATTAATAATATATTACTATAGAATATATTAATAGTAAATATAATAAATAATTTATTTATTTTAATATAATAATTAGTTTATAAATTTATTTATAGCAAAGCTTTAATATTTATTTTTAATAAGTAAAAAGCTAATAAAGCTAAAGCTAATTAGATTTTTTTAAACAATTTATATAATATTTAATTAATAATATTTTAAAAATTTCTAATATTAGATAATTAAAAGTAATTAAATAGAATATATATATTTTTTTAGGTTATAATATTATAGCTCCTATATTATTAAATATATTTAGTAAACTATTATTAATTATATATTTATAATTAGAGTTTTTAAAGTTTATATTTAGAATATTTATAAATTAAATTATTTTATTAAAATTATAAATATAAAATTAGTAAAATAAAATTATTTTTATTTATAATATTTAAAATTTTATATAATTAATAAGTTAAAGTAGGGAGTATACTTAGGTTAAATATATATTTCTTTTTTTTCTATATATATTTATTTTTATTATTATTTATATTTTACTATTACTTACTAATATAATTGCTACCTTTACTATTAATATTTCTAAAGGTACTATTACTAAAAAGCTACCTTTTAGATAGAGGTAGTTATAAACTAGCTTAGTTTAATTAAAGTTTACTATAGCTAATTTATATATAATAATTAACTTATTTTATTATTAATAAATAAAATAATAGAATTATTAATAATAAAAAGTTCTTAATCCTAAATTAATAAAATCTAGCTAAATTTAAGCTTTAATAGAAATAATAAGAATAAAAAAGTGAAAAAAAAAGTAAAACTATATATTAAATTTTAGTAAAATAGATTAAAATAACTTAAGTATAGTATATATTTAATTTATATTTTTAAAGTATTATATAGTATAGAATCTAGTTAAGTATTTATAAGTTTTAATATTAATATAGGCTATTTAGCTAAAAAATAATTAAAGAAATTTTATCTTTTTAAAAAAATAAAATTTCTTTAATTAGCTTATATTATATATTTTTCTTATTTAAAGCTAGCGCAGTAGACGTATATATTTAATATATAATATTTTAAAAAAATAAAAAAATATAAAGGTTTAAAGTAAATTTTTATTAATACTAGTTTTAATTTTATTAGTTTAATATAATAGAGAAGAAACTATAATATAAAAAATATTATATATTTAATTATAAAGTAAAAATATATTAAAATCTTTAGACCTTAGGCTAGGTTTAAAATAATATATAATTAATAAAAATAAAATATTTTATTATAATAATTCTTTTATTTTAAAAGATTTATTATTTTATAGTATACTAAAACAAATTTAAATTAATAGAAAATAAAGCTATAAGATCTAAGAGATAGAGACTAAAAGAGAATACTTTTATAAAATACTATATTACTAAAGAGGCTGCGCCTAAGAGAGCGTTGTATCTATAGAGACTAAGCAATTATATTCTATTATGCTACTGCCTTTGTAGACTTTGCTAATACAATATAATATAAAATTTACCCTTGCTTATATCTCTTTTGAAGTCCTTATACCCGCTAACTTAGGCACTATTTGCGATAATGCCTCCTCCAACTTTAGTTAGCTATTATAGTTGCGGTTGTTAAAGTCTTAAGGAAATAGATTGACTAGCAAAAGGTACGATTTCTTCTAAAGTCTAGTTAGCGCATAAGTGTTTTCTGCTCAGTTTATATATATAATCTCCGTTATCGTAGGAGGCTATTGTATATGATTGGTCGATAAATATATATAATACCTGCTATCTTTGCGGATAATCAGCGCAAGGTCTACGTGATATAGTCATGCTAGCTAGTGTAATTTTTTTACGAGATTTAATTTCCTTCTAGTGAACTGTTAGGTCTTCGCTTTTACTGCATAAAGCATAATGTAAGGTTGCTGCTTCGATTAGATAGAGATGCAATAGAGATTGAAGTAACTAATAGAAGTTTAGCTAGTCCGACGAGATTGACCTTACCTTGTATATGGATAAGCATAGTGACATCCAATTGTGACCCCTCTACCAATTATGACTTCCTCCACCAATTGTGACACCCCCTCCAATTCTGGCATCTCTTCCAATTCTGTCCGCCACGAGTCTCCCTTATGATTTTTCTTTGGTTCCAGAGTACTGTACATTTCCACAAAGATACAGCTTGGCGATTTGAGAGCGACAGTGCTGGGCAGCATGGGTTAGCTTTTGTCTGGGAGTTTGTCACGTGCAAGAGGGGTTCTTCGAGAGGGCGAGGACGGCGTAGAATACGAATGATCGCTGGCATCAGTCATGCAGTCTTCGTCGATGTATTTCATCTATAAGTTGTTATAGAGTTTAGCTCCAGGCTCAAGCTCTAGCGATTCAACGGTGGTAATACGCGTTAAGTAAGCTTTGGTTGCCTCCTGCCCTATAGCATTCTTTAAGTCATTAATGACCGCAGTAAGTCGTTGCTATATGTGCTGTAATACTTCAAGAGTCATGCGAGATGCTTATAACAAAAGGTGGAAATTCTTGTAGACCTGGACTTGCAGACCCATTGGGTCCGCAAGTCCAGTTTCTAGAAAGATCTATCGCACAGCCTTACGCAGGGCCTACCCGAAAAGAAGGTAAAGCGATCCAAACCTGACGAGGCTTACTGATGACAACTCGTTTCACATCCGTTTCAAAGATAACAATTAACGCCCATCACTTTTCGACTTGAGAGATGGCTCTAACTTCGCTATATCTTGGGCTCCATTCTGTGCGAAACTCGCCCTACTTTAACCTGGATCCAGGTAAAATGGTAGCCTCTTTCGGCCTACCTCGACGCTGTTTTAAGCAGCCTTTGCACCGGCACCCCTGCCCACCTCCATGCCGCCCTGACGGCCACTAAGTTCCCTTCCCCTGCCTTCGAACATCATCCACCTGCACTTTACCAGAAATATCCTAACATGTGTTGTACCACTGCGCCCTGTCACCGTCGTCGGCGCTTCCGTCCTCACAACTTGCTTCCGCAGGCGACACACGTAGCCCTTGGAACTACCGGGGAACACGACACATTGTCAGTAACGAAACCATGGATCAGTATTGACCATCGTCGCCTATGCCGCAGGTCTTTCTGGAGGCCTTGCTTCGTACGCTCGTAGTCTTTCGGAGTTCGATCCGAGTAGATATAGGCAATGTTTTTCGTGTGTACTTGATCCCAAGATGAATATTTTTCTGCTTTTCTATTGTTATCCTTATAGGAATAGGTGACATGGCTGTACTACGCCCGAATCCCGAGCTCATTATGTGTGAGAATTACCGGTCTATTTATAGCCTTGGCAATCCGATCAACCTCGATCCGGGAAATGCCTTCGCTTAGAAACCTAATCTGACATTAACAATCCCTAATATTCAAAGAACATATTAGGTCCGAAATATCCAACGTCATAATGTCCGATTCAGAGAACCACTTGGAGCACTCATGTTCGCTCGCTGCTGACTCTCACTCCGACCAACCGATCGCCGAAATATACAATGAGGAGCACGAGCCTCTGCTCGCCGCCTGGCCCGGTCTCCTCAATATTCCTCAAACGTCACTTTCGACCGCACGCTCCAACCTCATGTTGGAAAGGCGTAAGTTAGAGCTGAAGCCCCTCCTAGCTCATCCTACTAACATCCCCAGTCCAGGCTTCCAGCACAGCGCTCTCCCCCTCTTTAGAAACCTTCCTTCGTACCTTCTCGCACGCCCTCAGCAGCCTGCGCATCTTCACCTACCGCTTCGGTATCTACGCTAGGGCCCATCCCTATCTCCTGGCCGCACAAGTTCTCGGCACCTCCACGCTCCTTATCTTTACCACCGCGCTACCAATCCTAGGGTTCAGCGCGGCCGGTCCCGTGGTGGGCTCCGTGGCAGCTGGATGGCAGTCCAGCATCGGCGCCGTGAGCGCGGGCAGCTTTTTTGCGTTTCTGCAGAGCGCGGGCATGGGCGGGGCGGCGGCCGGATTGTTTGTTGGGGGAGGAGTTGTTGGGGGGTTGATTGCTGCCGGGACAACCATTATGGCGGCGGTAGGTGGGTGGGAAAGGGTTAGGGACGGGTTTGTAGGGTGGGCTGAGAAAGTGAGGGATGATGTAGGGAGTTTCTGGGGATCTTTGTTTAGGGGATGGTAAGAAAGGACTGATGAGTGATATGTGGTCAGAGAGCGACAAATTCAGGTATGGTGCTCTTGGACCAAGTTTTCGCATTTTACAGTGTTGGTCTACCTGACCGGTAATAGCGACGCTGACGCTGGCTGCCGTAAATGGGCTAAGCTATTAACTCTAGAACTAAGAAGGCCTGTTAAAGAGAGCTTATTTCAAGTCCATACTTGTCTCGATATACATGTTTTTTTCGAGCACAATAGACCCAACCAAGACAAAGCAAACAATATCTAAACTTCGGAGTCCTCTACAGCGTGGAGAGGAAGTCGAACATGGTTGTTAAACTCGTCCCATTTAAGAACAAACAATCCTCGCAAATCCGGATCCTTGAGCTTGCAATTAGTCTTGGTGGCCTTTCTCGTTCCACCCAGCTCCTTGACAGGCCTTATCGCATCCAAGTTGACATATTACAGGGCAGATTTTCAATGGCGGTCCTGGACTGGGGAACGGCGAAGCATCACAATGAAAGATCACAAAGCCAGCCCGAACGTCCCAGGCGGAATCCAGCGCCTAACCTGATTGCCTTTTTTGCGAGAAGTCCAGGCCAACACAGGTCAACACAGATTAGATTAAGTCGTAGCTCAAACAATATGAGCAAGAATCAGGGAATCGTCGTCTACTGCTTATCGCTGTAGATTGGTCTTGCGCTCGGAAAGGAAATGCTTGATTTTTCTAAAGATCATGCTTAGCCCTCGTAAACACCCATGTTCCTTTAGGGCGGGCTGTCGTTCACGACGTCGTCTTTCTTGAGCACGCCTTCTCCGAGTTTCATTACCTTTCGTAAATGAAACGACCGCAGAAGGATAGCCTCCACCTTTTGTCTTCAATACTTCAAGCGGTTGATACCTCACTCTGTGATTCTTCCTTCGCCTACGATGTTGCGATCGTCCGTATTTGCGCAGCGAATCGTTGTACTCATGCCCTGAGGTCCGCTGACCGGAAATTATTGAATATTGAGGTTGGGTCATTCCATCAGACGGGGTTTTATCACTGTGGCGACGCCGTCGCTGTTTTCCATGCTGGTTGCGATGTAGGGAAACGGCAGATGTACTCTCCGGTAGCTTGTGAACGGAAAGTTTAGGGTCATTCGATGTACTAACTCCTTGCAGCTGTAACGATACAGCGCTCATTGCAATGAGAGGCGAATTAGTATGATCGAGGGTCATTGCAGGGATTTTGAGACGCTGGTTCTCGACATCAGATGCCTCAACGGGTTCGTCTGAAGCACGGATCGAAACATTGGCAGGCAGGCCTTGGGCATCGGGCGATGAATCAGATACTGAAATTGTATTCGGTGGTGAGGCTGGGATGTTAGGAGGTGGAATGCGGGCATCGGCGGCGCTTGTCGTGATTGGAGATGAGGTCTGAATAGTGGCTGGCAAAGACGGGATATTCGGGGAAACTGCAATTTCAGTAGCAGCTGAGTTCGGCTGGTCCACCATGGCTGGCTCATCGTGACTTATGGTTTTTTCATGCTCTTCAGGTAGAGCTTCTTGTATAGGAGTAAGGTGTGTCTGTGAGATAGCGGCTGCCTCGTCTGGTATTCCTGGGCTGTTAGACACAGCAGGTACCAAAGACATCCGTGAGAGATTGGGCACAGACTCATTGGCGGTCGCAAATCCATGACGGTGCCATTTCGCCGCTTTGAGTTGCTGAAACTTCTCTCCGACATCAAGACAGACTTTCCTCAGCGCAGATTGGAACGCCTGTGCTCTTTCTAACGTGCTGAAATTGATGGTATCTTTGACTGTCCACAAGGAATACAGAGACTGATGACCACCGTCGACTTCAAATCGAGCGTGATGCTTAATGAAGCTGAAGCAAAGGTAGCAAGCTTGCTTGTTACATCCGATATATTTGCTATAGAGATGGATGTGAGGATTCTCCTCGTAGAACACAATCAGCTGTAGCTCTGCATGTTGCCGATAGCGGGGCCAACGTTCGAGCATGCGCCCGAACTTATTCTTATCATCCCATCCGAATTTGTGCCCTGCCCGCGCACGCAGTTGAGCGGCTTTTCGATTTGCCAGTTCGGGAATTTGAATTCTCGATGTTGGGATAGGCTCGATAGTGATTTTTCTGCCAAGCTCTTTTGCCTTCGTGACAAAGTCCGTCATAGCCAGCGCTGCTCGATAGAACTTGGAGATCTTTCCTATTCGCTCGATGATCTTCGACACAGTTGGTAGACTAATGCCTGGTTCCCTTTTTCTGTTCAAATTCGCCTGTACGAAATGCTTAAAGCTGCTTGAACGTCGGACGCTATAGGCCAGCTGACCCAGGTTATTCAGCGCCTTAAGCTCACTGGTTGTAGATGGATGAATAACCTCGGCTGTAAGCTTCTTTAATTGCCTCATACGATCCTCGCACAGACGCATGTAGGGCCCATGAGTTTCATCGCCATAGCGACCGAGAAATTCCATATCCTGCGTCGATTCGTCCCTGGAGGACACCGCTATGATCTCTGGATGGATGTAATGATCGGTATCAGATCCATAAACAAATTGTATTCGGTTGTTCAAACGGATGGCTTGCTCTTTGATGCGGCGTTTGCATCTGGAAAGAACCTTTCCTACAACCTGCTGTTTCAACGGATCTAAATCGTGTTCTAGGAAACAGCGATAAATTAGCCTCGTTCCGGGGGCGGAGAAGCCGCGTCTTTCCCCCAAAGGAAACCAAACCGATTGGTGAGCCCATGAAGATAGTTGTGAGAATATCCCTAACTCCTTCAAGAGCCTCAACGCCACCGTCATCATTCCTAGCCACTCGCAGTATATTCGTTTGCCCTTCATCGCTGAATTCCAAGCAAGCTGCAGTCACGTTGTCTGGGCCACCCCGTCCAGACGCAACGAGAGTAAAATCGTCGAGAAAGTCGGGGGTCATCTGCAGGAGCGTAATCATTTGATCCGTAGGGTATGAGCTTGCGTTGGGTTGCCTGTTACGCATCTTGATTGGATGGCCTTGAGAGCGATGCTTCATATCAGAAAGGAGAATGGCATTTTCGGAGAAGGACTGCCTATCTATGCCATCCCAGACATAACAAGGAAACATGACTGGAAATTGTTATCAGTCCAAAGGCATTAAGATATGACGAGGACTTGTAACGTTCTCGAGTACAACAGATACCCGCCCCTCTCAGGCCCTGATTTTTCGGATTTCATACTTTCGTCCCGGTCAAGGCTTTCTGTGTCGGCTGAGGCCATTCGTCTTGAATCCGAAATGCGTCGCGTAATGTTACCACCCTGTCTAGCGACACCACTTGGTTGGGACTGTGCGGCCCGGGTTTGAGACCTTTCAATGTACGAGAGATTTTCCATGCATGCTGGCTAAGGATGATCTTTACTGCATCAAGAACCTTAAACCAATGATCATTTGCAATGGCTGCCGTAGAGAGACAATTGCCAGGATTTGCAGAGCACAGCCATCTGCAAAGATGCCCAAGCGACCGCGGCATTGAGACGCCTTTGATATAAGTGGTCCGACACGGAGTACCTAAGGTGACTTTCCCGCACTTTGTTGATATGACTCAATCACGTACCGAAGTTTAAGTGTTTGATTTTCAAAGCCAATGAAGGCTGGAAGAAAAGTTTACAATGAACATGCCAGTAGCTAGTTCCCATCTATGGGCTACTGCGTGATATGATTGGGTTCCGAAAGATTAGCCTGTAGCGCCTACGCGCGAGTTCCTGATGGCCATCGCCGGCCCGACGTTCCCAGCTTATAAAGTTTGACAAAACGGTGCGCTTTGATTTCGCCTTGATTTAGCGAAAGCTAAAGTAGCCTGAGATAGGTTAAGCCACGTACAACTTAGTACCGTCCAACATTCACCATCTCCTAAGGGGTCTTGAAGCATAGGAAACTGGCTATCATAATCTGCAACTACAACAGGCAGATAACTGAGTCTACAGAATGCCAAATAGAGTGGTTACATTCCCCACTACACCACAAGCCATGAGTTCAGAATGTTGGCCTGAAAAAAAATGTGGTGTTTCGTGCTTAGGCACGTGGGGTACGACTTGGAACTTTGCACGAAGGTCCTTCCCGCCATACCTACTAGCCTATTTCTCCGACGCTTAAAGAGCTGATCAACCTGCATTCCTGACTCAACATGCCGGGTCCTGCCACCAAGGTTGACATACCAAACAACGCGCCGCGTTCTTGAACACAGATGGGCTATCGACCCCTTGTATTTGCAACTTGTACGCTACGCCGCCGCCGAACGGTTGCGGCTCTCAATCATTGCGCATACCAACTGTGGAACTCAATTGAAAGAGTGCCTCAGAGGGAGTAGGGACGCAGATGGAGTTGAGATGAACGGTGAAAGCTATACAATGGTACAAAGCGGTAGTGTGAGGCCTAGCGGAAGATGCGGGGTATCTCTTTCTGGGCCGTTAGGTGCTGGCCATCCATGATCGAACAACTCACAACCCACTTTGCGTGCAGGTTGATTTTAGAGGATGGGGCCATGCTGGTGGAGACGTGATTCGGGCAAATTTGGAGATAGCTTGTCGACAAATACTGCGACACGTGTTCCAAGGCTATCATCCACACACCGTCAAACAGTTATGGAGCCCGAGTTCTCTCAGTCAAATAACCTTCCATCAGTCTTTTCTACCGTGTTCTTAGGCCATCTTTCTGCGAACGCTGCAAATTTGAAAATGCTGCATGGAGACGTATGTTCTTGGTAAAAATCATCGTCTAGTTCCCTATCGTGAGAGTCTTTTTAGTTCGATAGTTTGTCGACTTAGTCGTCGAATACCTTCCAGAAGCACTGCAATGTCGCAGGTATGATGGGATTTGTACCGCGGTCAAAAGCCATTGCTATTCCTTCTAAGTAACGATATGGCTAGGGAAATTCTGTCATGCCCAACTCGTCGAACCCCGTGAACGGCATTTCAAAGCGCACCAAGAAAAAAAGATCAGATGAAAGCTCTCCAAGCCCTCTCTACTTTGGAAAGCTTACTGAAGGCCTTGAATCGGAGATAGAAGCGTTTCGCCCGGCTTCTAATGCGCTGTTGAACATCAGCAATATCTTTCACGAATACCGATCTGAGGTTGAGGTTTTCGAAAGCAATTACGGAGCCATGCAGGCCAAGGATGACGAGATCAGAGACCTCAATGCCGCGATGCGACTGTGGAAATCAACCAGAGACGAAGAAGTCGAGAAGCTGAAAAGCGAACTTGACTCGATGGCAGAGAAACGGGAAAGTCTTCGAGAAGAAAAGCAAGAATTTGAGAAGATACGGGACGAGAAGACGGGGGAGCTCCAGCGCAGTCAGAATCAACTCGCGGAGAAAGAGAATCGACTTAAAGATGGGTATGAGAAAAAATTAAAGAAATCCAAAGACGCATTGAAGGAGGAGACTCGTGAGACGGTAACACAACTTCAAGCAGCAAACGAGAAGATGACCAATGAGATTGCTGTCCTTCAAGCCGATTTAGCAGGTGCACATGAAACGATAACAAACGAGAAAAGAGACTGGTCCATTGTACGCTCTGCCCTCAACGAAGAGAATCGAACATTCCGCTTGGAGCTGGAGTGTGTTAAAAACGACTTCGCCATCGAAGCCCGTCCAGATGATTTTTAGTAGGACCACAATCCGCTTATCTTGACGAGATGCTGGGCCGCTGACTTTGCGTACAGTAAGCAAAAGTTTCTGGAGATCCAAGAGAACGTCAAGGAAACGTCATCCAGGTTTTTCTCGACACTCCCGCAGAGCCCAGGATCTGTAAGTCGACGTCGTAGCCGGCGTCTCCCTCATGCTGACCAAAATGGTGTGCCACAGAAAAGAAAGACATTCGAAGGTCGAGGTATATCGTGCGAGATCGCCGAATTTGCATTCCTCTCTGAATCCCAAGTGTCCACAAGCTTAAGACTCTCGGCCGTCGAATTTCTCATCGTTGACAGTGTTCGCAAGCTGGTCTGGCAGCCATTCGCACCTGAGATCACTCCAGGCGAGACCGCCTCGGCAGCCCTCTTTCAAACGGTATCGCAGGAGCTCGGCAGCCCTCGGCAGCCGTGCGGAATCCACCTGGAGAGCACTGACCGTCTACGGTCTCCGAGCTTCTTCCGCACAGGGCCAAGTGCTCAAGCGTGTGACAGATTGCATGCTTGAGCTTCTTGCTCCGTTCACGGATGAACCTGACAATAGCCATCTCGCCGAAGCACTGACTAATATCGTTCGTAAGGCTGTTGATGTCTGGGACATTTCTCAAAGAGATGCTTGCCAGCTCTTGATTCAAAACGCTCCTGATCCAGACGATGAGAGCGGTTGGATGCGGGAGGACGGAGATCTGTTTGAAGACCCTTACGATGGGGATGTAAGCGCAGCACGGTCCATGTCCCCCATCTGCATTTTCCCCAAAATAGTTCGGCTTCCATCACGTGGTGAAACCTCGCAAATGACGATTTTTCGAGGACGAGCACTGTTCGAAGACTCTCGCTTGTTGGCGTTGGGAAGAAAGGAGAGCATAGACCTGCAGAAGATGATGATCGACGCTCACAAACAATTCGCATCACAAAAGGGTGGGGAGTCGGGCTTACTGACTAGATCGGATCGGAGGTTGTCAATCGCGGCGCAAGTGACCCGTCCCTAGTTTGCCAAGCGCAATTCGATCTTGTATTGGCGAAGTTCTGGTTACCCTTGAAAAGGATAGAAGAAAGTGGTAATGAATCTATGCACGGCTACATCGAATTTGGTACATTCGGCTTCCGACATTCGCTCTCTTGAGACGCATTCTTCGGCGTTCGCCCCTTAGTAAACTTGACTGTAAAATATTTTTAGGTTTGGCCTACGTTCCTATCATTCTTTAACATTTGACTACAGTCCCTTTCAGCCTTGGAAGATCCATAATCCCCTGTGTACTATAGAAAGCTTCAATCGAGGTTAACTCAATTTATGCAGCCGGGTTTGAAATCCATTAGGCTCAATGACCAGAGAAGGGTGTTGAACGAAGCGAGAGAAGAATTGACTCACATGGCTCCCGATCATGATTTCTGTCGCTGTAGATTCGAGCTTTATCCGTATTGCAGTTCCAATACGTCGCTCCACAATGAGCTCCCAGACAGAAACCATCAGCGAAATCCAACTTCAAATTTGGATCGATCGGAGCATCTGAAAAGTACAGACTCCCGTAACCTGGAAACGTGATCGCTACCATCTCTTTGATCATCATCGATAGCGCTTTGACGCATACATGTGTTGTTAGGACTAAACTTGTCACCGCTCCAGTCGAGGATTCTAGGATGTCAGTGAATGAGAATAATCTGAAACACCGGGGAACCTTGCAGCTCACTTACAAAAAGCGGTCTCCTTCATCTGTCCAAGGTTTTCGGAGACGACCATGTCCGCCTATACCGTGTCAAGTCTAGTATGACACAGTTCGCAATGCCGAGGAGGAGCCTATGAGAAGGGTTCTACTATGATTACTAACGACCTCCAATCCTATTGGTTCATGGGCCAGAAGGATTTGAAAGCTTGCGGTGGCTGCGCATTGAGGCGGAGTCGAGTGAATTATGGCCTTTTGGCAACGTATATCGTACAAACTTCACTCTGCTCTCCCCAGATAGTATTTACGCAACCATTGAAACGTCACCAGACAAAAAGTGCTGAGGGTAGGCTCGCGCAGATGCGAGCTGAGGATCTCTGTATATCTCGGTCAATGGACCAACGGAAGCCCACGCGGTGCGAAGGATCAATCTTACGTGATCAAGCTGAAGTTCTTTCGTCCGGGACGAAAGAACTTCCAATCACGTGACCTTGCATTGTTTCCGCTTAGGGGTTCAGGTCAATATCGTCTTGACGACGACGTAAACGGGTCAGATATCGAAGAATTCAATTATGGTACATGATACGGTCTGGATTGTCCTTAGCTAACCCGCGAGCAGGCGTTGAATGAGATAGTAGAGCTTCTTTCCGTGTATTCGAGATCGAATACAACGGAGGACTATGTCGCGCTCCTTGACGGGGTAGGATATGTGGTATTAAAACTCAAAGAGGAATTAAGGCGGAAACAACAGCACCGGAAGAAGAAAAACAAGAAGGCCCAGTCCAGTCGTACGGCTGCCAACGCCCCGTGGCAGGGATTGCCGAATGTAGCGACAATTTCCTTAGCCGACCTACCATCTTCGACGTTGCGCTCACATTTGAAGCCTGGACTGGTTGAATCAGCAGATGCCGAGCACCCGTCCGATTCGAACCTGAGACTCGATGTGATTGTTCGGCCATCGGGACCTGATCGACGGTCTGAAGCGACCACAATCGATTGTGAGAGCTCCAACCCGAAAACTGACGCCGGGCTGGCCAAGGAGGATGTTGGAGCGGCAACCAGAGATAAGCTGAAGCAAGAGATCGAACACTGCAAGAATTACTATCGCGGCAAAAACTTTGTTGTCCATAGTGATGAACGCTCAGAGACCGTCTACCCCAATGAAATCAATCGTTTCTTCTCCCATTTCCAAGAGGGAGAGTGGCTTACTAATTTCAATGTGATGCCCTTGATATTCTCTTTCAGTTGGCCGGCAATGACTTTGGTGCTGCACAGCTCCTATACATCGTTTGCTGCCTCGAAGAACACCAATCAGCAATCCACACCCAGGGTGCGGTGGCCCCTAGAAAGCAGTCATGATCGCGTCATCCTTCCCTGCTGCTTTCAAAACCATTGGACGTTGTTTGATGTGGACCTCAAGCGTAGTTTCATCCGACAATACGATTCTCTCGCCGGAGACGTCGCAAAGTCAGCGGGAGTGGTGTCCGCCATCAAGGAGCGATTGACGAACGCCATGGAGGGTTGGCAGAGCCCAAAACAGGACCTCGCTACAGGCAATGGGGTAAATGAGGATGCTCACAACTTTCTGTTCCTTTTTGACCCCGCTGATGGTCGCAGGCATCTCAACAGCAAGGGAACGATTCTGATTGTGGAATTTACATGGTATACAATGCAGATTGTCTCGCCTCCCATCGAGACCCCCTAGAGGAGCAGATAGACGGTGCTCAACTTCGACACCACTATCTTGAACGTCTCCTCGAATTAGAACGTCAGGGGAGGAGTGAGCGGCAGATGGTGGAGATGGTCCTACCTCCAAACAAGACACTCAGGATCAAACGGCGCCGTGTGCCTGAAGACATGCCAGACGATGAGCCAGGCCAGAACAAAAGAGGAGCTAAGAGAAGTCGCAGAGCGGACTGGGTGCCCCCATCGCATTTGGGTCCCCGAGCCGCATGGATTGAGGAGCGGAGCAACCTCGCCGCTATTATCTCTGGGCACGGGTATGGAAAAATCATGCCAAAACACTGGGAACGAGCGGAGGAACTGCTCCAGATGATCGAAGCGATCGGATGTGAGGAAGTCATGACTGTTTGGAACGAAGCAGTTGCCCAAGCGAAAAGCCTCGTCAACCGACAGGCACCGAAAACAGATTCGACGGCTAAAACAATCTGTCAACTTGTCGAGCGGGCCCAGGTCAGATCGTTCCAAGATAAGGTAGTTTTGCGCATTGGAAAGTGGGTTTTTTCAATGAAGATCTTGCAAGATGTTGAAGGTTTCAGGGAAGAAGGTGCACCGTCGAAGCAAAGTGGTCTCAAACCTGAAACCGATGGCAAAGGAAACGCAGTGACAAGGGCACTTACCAAGTTCATCAAAGAAGCTCACCCTGAGCTTCAAGGCCCTACTCTGGCGAAGGAGTGGGAGACAAGATATCTCAGGTATCGAGACTGGTGGTGGGAGAGCCGGATATGGATCCTTTTGTACAATGCATTTGGAGCTGCGGTTCTATTGCTCATCCCGGGAAACCATCGCACCAGGAGAGGATCTTCAGTCTCCAACAAACAGTAAGAACGCATCAGTTCCATCCATAGAGTTTCATCTTTAACGTTGGTTCAGATATGTGCGGATCAAGTCCACTGAGCGTAAACCATTCATCAAAGCCCTGCAGAAACTTCGACCAGACTTGAAGAAGACCGTTTCCGAGCTGGAAGATCAGCTTCAGATTCTCAAAGACGACATCATAGACCTACTGGGACGACTTCCGCAGACAGATATATCTCCAGAGTCAAAATCTGGACTGGAGAACGGCGAAGCATCCACAATGAAAGATGACAAAGCCAGCCCGAACGTACCAGGCGCAATCCAGCGCTTGACCTGATTACGTCTCTTTGCGAGAACTTCAGGCCAACACAGGCCACACTGACTTGCATCAAGCTAGGTGTACTGCTTCAAACCTCCCGCAATGGCGCTGAAATCATCGTCCTCCTGTAGCTTACCATGATGTACCAGGCTCTCCGCTGCTGGCCGCATCATCTCACATATCCTCAATATATGCGTGTGAGACCGGCGGATGTGCTGGAGCAGAGATTTTAGATAAGGATCAGTGTATCCTGTAGTGTTGTAACTGTAATGCAGGTCAGCAGATTCTCGTGGGTCAGTTGGGTATGTGACATTTTTCTAGCAACGCCTGGTCCACAGAGCAAGAGAAGCCCCAGGCCGAGCCCTGAGATGCTGTCTCCATTCTCGGCAACGAACCCATTGACTAGTATTGACCATCGTCGCCCGTGTCGCAGGTCCTTCCTAAGCGCTTGCTTCACACGCTCGTAATCCTGCGGGGTCCGATCGGCGTAGATATGTGCGAGGTATTCCTTTTGTGCCTTGTTGCTGTTGTTTCCCCCTGTGGCGCGTCTGCTTATGGATCCTTTGTTTGGTCTGAGCTTCGGTAAGAAAACTTGTGTAGCCGTCCAGGTTTCGTATCTCCGCGATCGACCGCCGCCACTGGTGTAGGTCGTCTTCAACATCCAAGTGGTGGAGGATGAGATGATGGTGCAGTCGACGGACTTGATCCGAGCTACTTTCTATAGTCCACGTGAACACTTGGCGTGAGGGCATCGTAAATATCCCTTCCACCTTCAAAGTGTCCCAGTGAATTCTGAGGCAATCAAGGAGATCGCTGCGTGGCAAACCTTGCGCGACCGTATCCAGCGTGTTATATCCTGACGTCCGTTTCTTGGAATTTTTTCTTGGTCCCCGAAACGAATCGCTAAGCGCCTTGGGTGTGTCTTCCATCGGAGATACAGCGGTGGCGATCTGAGGCGACGATGCTGGAGAACGTGGGTCAGCTCCTGTCTGGGAGTTTGTCGTCTGCAAGAGGGGTTCTTCAATTTTTCCGGAGGGCGAGAATAGCGTAGGACATGAAGGATCGCCGGTATTAATTTCTTTATCATCGTATTTAATCTATGCGTTGTCGCGGAGTTCGGCTCCGGGCTCGAGCTCCAGCGATTCAACGGCGGTAATACGCGTTAAGTAAGCTTTGGCTGCTTCCTGCCCAACAGCATTCTTTAAATCATCAATAACCGCAGCGAGTCGCTGTCGTATATACTGTGGTATTTCGAGAGTCATGCCGGCTGCCCATTGCGAGAGTTGAAATCTAACAATCTTACGGATCTGGATTTGCGGACCCAATAGGTCCGCAAATCAAGGGTTCTAGAAGAATCTATCGGACAGCCTTACGCAGGCTCCCACCTAAAATCAAGTAAGCAGAACGTCACGCGTTTTTAACGCCCGTCACTTCGCTGCACCACCTGGCCTCCATTCTGTGCGAACCTTGCGCTATATCGCGCCTTACCTGCAGGGTAGTAAAAAATTTAACGCCGCAAGGATTTCCGTGCTTGTGCGTCGGCGTGTTTCTGAACTGTTAGTGTGCAAGGCTTTGGTGAGGCTTAGCCAGTCATAGCCACCTCCATCCGAAAGGTGGCTTTTGATAATGATGTTTCAAGTGACCGACAGTCACAAATGGAGACCCCATTTTGGGGTCAAACGCATTCCCACTTTTTCTCCCCGTCTACTATCGCTTCTTCTACCAACCCTTCTACCAACGTTGCCTTTGTCAACGCACTTTTACAAATCTACAAGATGAAATTACGGAAGTATTGAAAACAAGAGCTCTCAATCACAAACCAATAAGATGTGATTGGGTTTAAATTCTGATCAAATGGGAATAGCAATACCAGAAGCGAAACCAAATATCAGGACCGTATGCTAATGTTCAGTAGGGCAGATGGGAATGACTTGAGCGCAATATGCATTCAATTATATTTCCACTCTAAAAGCGTCACGCAGCACAGAATCCGGTCAAGTATTTGTGTATTCTTACATCAATGATCGTTAAGCTGTAACGGATGAACAAGGAAGGTGCTGTCCTCCCGGAGGACAGAACTTCCCTTAGTCAGCTCATGCAACTATCTGTATTATCGTTCTACAAAATCTCCTCTAAATAACTAGTTTCAAATCTAGGTCGATCATCTGTCTTTATGCTAACAAATCTATCAAGTCGGTTCTGAAATCTTCAATTTCTTGTAGAATCTTTATAAAGACGGTCGCGACTAGTCCCTGTAAAAAGTATGCTAACGCTGCTTCTACAACAATTGGTCTTAACAGCGGACAGTGTTCGTTTTGGTTTTCGTATATTTCTTCAATGCAATCGACCAGATCCTCTACTCGCCAGTCTTCTTTCAGTCGCGACTGAAATCGCTTGAGGGCCAGCGCTTTCAACTCATTTTTCTCAAGCTGGCCGGCAAGCATGAAAATTCTGGGATGCTTCAAGAGATCTGGCTCGTCGTCTGTTTTAATCCAATCAACGACATGCAAATTGCTGGAGATCGAAAGCTTACCAAACCCCTCAAGTGCCATGGCAGTGTCCTCAGAATAATCCCCTTGGTATAGGTAACGGAATATTCTCCAGATCGAGTGTACGCTGGCACCCTGCCAGTGCAGCACCCCCGAAGTACCTGCTGGATATTTTGCGATGAACTCGTCAAGCCAGGGACTTTGAAGTCCTATTACCATGCGGTGGGCCGGCAGATCTACTTCCGTCTCACCGAGACGGATGGTGATATCAGAGTACTTGACGCTGTTGAAAAGCCTTGACACGATTAGCTTGCATCTTTATGATCATGTAATATTGTATGGTTCGACTTACTCAGCGAGTGTCTGAGGAGCTATGCCTTTCCAATTATCTTCCAGTGCTCCGAGTCGTTCTACGTCGATTGTAGTGAGGGTGCTCCTGCAGGAAGTGGGGTCATCATCGTGATCGTTTCCCGTGTCGCCTTCAGATGGCGAAAAGGCTTCGGAAGGTACTTCGAAACGAATTTGAGTATGGCGTGTGGTTAATTCGGAAGTCATAGCTTGCAGAGTCCGAGTTTTTATCCTGTCCTCTATTAAGAAAAGCGCAAGCAAATATACTGACATTAGATCTGTTTTGAACCAAACCGCAATAATGTGCGTTCCCAACTCATTTTATATCTTGGGAGGCGCTTTTGGGCTTCCTGGGAAACCATCCACGTCGTGGCTCACCTTGCACCAGTTTTGGATGCCCAGCTCAGCCAGAAGTTGAGGGACCCTTTCGGGGTCATTTCCGGCGGTTTGATGATTCTATTAAGCCTCTCCCAGGAGCATGATTCTCCCTGGAGAGTCTCGTTACTCGGAGACGGTGCCCTGGATAGCACAGATAAAGGGAGACGGAGCCTAGAAGAGGATGCCTCCAAGGATATCATGGTTCCCCGGAAGACGACGCCCGGGAGAGCTTCCCTTCTTGGAGACGGAGTCTAAGAGAATGTCGATCCTGGAAGACTGGGCCTAGGAACATAGATAGAAAGCTGGCTGGCCCTTGAAAAGGGCCAGACCGTGAATGAGGGATGGACCTACGAGATGAGGGATAGGCCTTATACGACAAGAGAATTCAGCATTCCTGCTGAAACATATGTGAAGCATCATTGGCGTCGCTACTTCAGGACTAAAGTGTAATGCTAAAAGAAGAATCGCGTTCCGGGCTACTCCCTCCTTTTTACATCTGGGAACAGAATTAGGGTCATCACGTAGGTATGAGATGCATGGAAAGCAATCAGGATACAAAGGAGGCGCAAAATAGGTCCGCCTATCACAGATCTTTCAAAATTGAAGCAAACACTGGCTAGGGTCCTGCCTTAAGCACTCACGATTAGCAAATATGCTATATACGCATAAACTTACTCTAGGAATAGTTAAAGTAAATTACTTTATACAAGAGCTAGATGGTCATCATACATGTTGTAGTTAACAGGATATTAAATTGAGTGTCTCTAATGAAGAGAGGAGGATCACATGACCGTAGTTTTCTGCGTACACGCAGAAAACTACGGTTATGTGATGTCGATTTAGAAATCCGTGGGTAGGAAGTAATGCACCTATGCAGACCGCTAAGCCAATAAGAGACTAACGTGCGTCCCTGGGATGCGAGAAGCCCACCGTGCCGAGAAAACTGATAAGTACTTTGGCTTCAAGCAATTGGAACTCTATGAACTTATCGAAACTTTACGTATTTCTTGAATTAAAAATGTGCAGCGACCAGTCTTTAATGCTCGGGACCTCTTTTCCATCAAAGACTGCGTTCACGTTATCGTATTTACGCCTGATTTGTGGAGAGCCTCCTTTTATAGCGAAACAGGACTTCTCCTCCATAGCACCGCCATTAAGCTTGCTCCATAGTCGAAATACATAAATGACCCTTATCCGATCCTCAGAGTCCATGGTAATGCTTAGAAGTTCTTCTTAGTCTTATGGCTGCCGTGGAGTTGAACTCCATGCAACGTCGCGATGCCGGTCGGTACCTCCAATCAAAAAGACCAACGGCTGAAACAATTCCGCGCATCCCGCAGAATCATTACAGTATATTTTACTCTAGATGATAGACAAGGTGTCTGAATCCGAGCTTGTGGCTGGTGAGACTGTGGCTGTGCGCTGTGATGCCTGCCTGGCCTTTGATGGCGGGAGAACGCCCGTCTACAAACCCTTAACCCAGCCTACCACATCCATAGACACCCTCTACTGCTCCTATAATCACCTATTTCCAAGGCAACGTGGACACATGACTTCCTTGGTCTCTAACCCTCCCGCTCCTTCCGAGTACGATGACGAGGTTGACGATGCCGACCTCTCCTCTGGATATGTATGGGCCTATCCATGCAAGCTCCCTTTGTGTCCTGACTACGGCAAGTCGTGGATCCTGCGAAGCAACTTTCTCCTTCACTTGCAGGAGCGAGAGGAACATGGGACCTCAGCGACGACACCTGCCGCACGCCGCGCGATCGAGATAAATTAGCGGTATACCACCGATCTTTCTCTGCCACCTCGGGCGGCTCCAGATTTTCGTTCTCGGGAGGATCCTGACGAGCAGGTCTGGGACTACGGCTTTAAAGATGATAGCGGCAGGGTGATAAACGGCAGGGGCACACTGAAGCAAATGGAAATGCACAAGGCCTCACGATGCCGTCAAGTGTAAGGAACGCGGGTCGCGTAGCTGCGTGCCTATTTTGAAAACGCGCGACGAGCGCGTGCTCTAAGCCGCAAAGTGACCTATACGGCTATGATGACGCTGGGGATGATGATCATGACGTTGACAGTGATATTGACTTTTTAACCCTTGGTACACAAGAATACTTACCTCTCACTTTTTCACAAATCCCTACGAAAGATCTTGCGGAGTAAATGTCTCAGAACAATGTTGCCATCCTCTTGATCGAACGTATTGCGAAATATTTTACTCGTGCTCTTGGTATAGGCTCGTAGCTCTGCCACATTGCGGAAAGTCTGAACTCTTTCTTCGGTGTTTCCACGTCTTCGTCCCCACTCAATCAAATCAACAATGTTAACATGTGTCCTTCGTACAACCTATGATTCGGATCAGCATGGATGTTCAGTTTTGTTGAACGCGCTCATACTTCCTCGCATTGCTCACACGTTTGCGGAAGCGGCTTGATACCAATAGCACGACAAAGGGCATGCCACGCAGCCAAATCGCTCTCTGCACCATACCACATACGCAATTCGCTTTCTAATGCATCTTGATATCTGTTCCATGCGTCTTGTGACGCAGCATCGCCACGCCGCCACCCTTCATGTTCTCGCAAGTTGCCATACGACACAGCTGGTGAGAGAGAAGGGTCGTATCTAAAGGTTGGGAAAGAGCGGAAGAAGAGATCTAAAGGGGTATTTGGATCCTGCTGATGAGTACGAGAGTTCCGCAGGTGCTGCTCCAGAGCTTCATCGCTGCCGAAGGATCGATCGCAAATTTCACAGTCGAAGGACGGTGCGTGGGCAGGCGAGTCCTGCAGGTGCTGCCCCAGAGCCTCTTCGCTGCCGAAGGATCGATTACAACTCTCACAGTCGAAGGACGGAGCATGAGCTGGGGAATCTCGTAGGTGCTGGTCAAGAGCCTCTTCGCTGCCAAAATGACGGTCGCATTTTGCACAGTCGAAGGCATGAGCAGGTGCACCTCGTTTATGCTGCTGCAGAGCCTCGTCGTTGTCAAAAGTTCGATCGCAGAGAACACAGCGGCAACTCATAACGCGAGGAGTTTCATATCAGTATAAATTTTCAGAATAAGCAGAGAGCAATAATAATGGGGGACCATGATCGGCTGGAAGTGGTGAGTCAACAATTCAATTGGAATGAATAGTAGGTGGGGCAGCTATGTACCAATGACCCAAAGCCAGTTGATGATGCAGGCTTTAGTCCCGTGATGATAAGCTCCCAAGAATCCCTTGCGCCAAGTGTCTACAACATCTACATATGTTACCTAGACTAATTTTCATCATGCAAGGCGTTTCACCACGCCGGAATGGGGTTTATATCTGGACAACATTTCCCTTGCTAGGGATGTTTCGACCCTAGGGATGGGTGTTAGCGCTAGGCAGCGATAAACGACTAGTAGGCAGCGCTAATGCACAAAGTAGCCGCCTATAGACACTTCTAGAAGCCCGCCGCAGTGCGCCATACTTTGATAAATTGAGAATAAGTTAGTATGAAATATAAGATACCGCTGGACCATGCTTTAATACGGTGTAATATAAACCCTTGCTGACGCACGCTAAATGCTTACGCCAGAGACAGGGTGATCCTGTCCCCCCTGCCCGGCGAAACTGCCAGAATACATGTTCCCGAAGCTTGAGCGCCTTCAGAGTTTGTATTCATATTCTTTCGTGATAGGATTATTATACTATGGGTCCGAAATTCAAAGTTGTGTAGTTGGTCGTATCGAAACGGGTGGAAGTCGCTGAAGCGGTTCTTGACGGCATTCATAGAAAGATCGGTAAATTGACCAAGATCTCGGTATTTTTCTCGCTACAAACCAGTATCTTGTGCAGAAATAGCTCGGAAACGATAGCGCATTGATCATTACCTGATAATCTTGCGAGGAAAAGTCTTGCGATGCCCCAATTAAAGATGCTTCTCGGCACACAGGGTTTCTTAGCACATTGGGAGGGACGTTAGTAATTTACTAGGTTACATCACGCGGTCGTCGCTGATGGGACAAACGCGATACTCTTGGTTCCGGAGAGCAAAGTCAGCATCACTGCATGGATGGGGAACATATATTCGTAGAAAGCCTATACATTGTCCTTTATGTATTACTGTAGCCTATTCGTCGCCTTTCCCACGCATAATTTCAAACTAGGACGTTATAGAATGAGAGGAAATCTAAAACGATACCACCAAACCCCATCATCCTAACAAACACCGCTGACCAGCTTACCGTGCCTTCGGCTGATACTCCAGTTCCAGATATTTCACCCCGTTCTTCAAATGTCCCCATATAAGGCTTCGAACATCATCTCGCTGCTGTTCGGTCCCGGACACTGAAGGATGATCAACCCCATGGAGTACGCGGAAGGATTAGAGAACTCACCCATAATCAGCGTCCTTTCTTTCTCCCCCTGAACCATGTCCTCTTGCCTTTCGAGATCCTTTGATGCCCTTTCTGGGTCTGCTCCCGTCACTTCCGTGTGCAGGATGTCTCGCATGCAGGCAGTCCCATTGTACACAGTCGCCCGCCGGCCAAAGGAGACCTTCTGGACGTTTCCGGATTCCAAATAGATCGAGATACGGAGGATCTGGGCCGCATGTCAGCATATCATGAACAGCATAGCCGTAGAATTCACAGACGTAGCCTCGGTCCAGCGTATCATCATCCAAGGCACGGTTCAGCAGCGACTGGGCCGCGATGCCAATTTCTGAAGTCGTCAGCAAAAGTCATAAAGGTTCAATCCTTCCGGCAGCTTACCGATATCCCGCAACTGCCAAACCAGATGGATTCGACGAGCTCGAACCTTCCGAGCATTGTAGCCATGGATAAGTCTTTTCAAGTACGGCAGGTGAGCTGCTATGCCGAACCCATCCGCAATCATCAGTACGTTCTCATAGTCGCCCACTGCTGCACTCCTCCCATGAGGACCACTGAACAGCACCCAGCGAGAAGTTTTGGCATCACCGGGCCCCTCGGTCTCGGCGTGACTCAAAAGCTCTCGGGTGAGGCCTTTGCGAGGCTCCACAAAGAGCTCCAGAGTGTCCTGCCGCCCATCTGCCCAGGAGGTTACCACAAACGGATGGCTTTGGAGAAAGGACCAGAAGCTGACAGAAGGAATCCATAGGTTGATATATTGCCCGGGCTCAACCTTCACCGCCTTCGAAAGATGAATGTTGATCTTGACTGCGCCATGGAATTGGGTGATCACGGCTCGCGAGCGACCGTGGCGGAAGGCACGGTTCCGATACAGCACGCTCCCGGCTTGGAAGAGGAGCGTGCTCGAGAACACGCCAGCAGAGAGGTAGATGTACAAGCGAGGGACAAGGCCATCCGACGGGAGATGTCGCCAAGCGGAATAGAGGAAGAGAGCCGCCAAAGCTTGGTGCGTACGGAGGAAGATTTCGTAGGAGACCTTGCGGAGGAGAGGATGGGACAGTACAATAAGGAGGCAGAGGGAACCTCCTCCCTACAGCCGTCAGTAAAGAGGTAACCGAGCCAGCCACAGGTACTTACGATGACACCGAACAGCCCACGGCCTGTTCCTACCGAAAGCGAACCTCGGCCGACCATGGTGAAAACGTGAAAAAGAAAGAGGGCGGACGATAGCAAACCCGCCGAACGATGGAGGCGACGGTATGCGGTCACGGAGACACCGAGCAAGTCTGCGAGAAAGCCGAGGTGGGGTCCAGCGAAGAGGGGGATCATGTTGATCAACGAGAGCGTCCCGGCGCGGAGGCCAGCTTCTGAGATCGTGGAGACTCGATAGCTGAGGGAGAAGAGGTTGGCGGTCACATATATTAGCTGGGCGAGAACGCCGGCTCGAGTCCATGGTCCTAAAAACCGGTGACGGCTGAGGAGATATGGATAGGTAAGGTGGACGGATGTGAAAGAATGGACGAGCTTAATCAACCGTGCAATATGGGAAAGACTGTTGGCGAGAACAAATAAAATAATGATGCCGCCCGCGGCAGTAGCGTATGCTTGGGTGATATCCATGTCCAGACGAGCGAGAAAGAGAGTGGAAGATAGTGAGAGATCTCGATAGGAAATGGCTGGACTGCGAAAGGGAAGGGATAGAAAAGGTCGAAGGGGGAGAATGAAGAAGAAAAATGGTGAAATGCAAACGACCAAGCCCCTTTAAATATGTTGAGCAGTTGGGAACTGGGAAAGGTCGGGGGGTCTCTGGGTATTAGGAAGACCATCAAGAAATGGATGGCTCCAATATAGGAGCAGGACACACCCTTTTCGGATGCGTGCTAAATTTAGGAGCCTCTAGAAGCTAGAGCGTTCGAGGTCAGCGAGTTCAATGAGTCACTTACTGGATGATTCCCAGAATACTGCCCTGCGCGCGGGGAAGAGAATGAACCTGGAACCTATTGTAGATATTTGTACCCTCGGTAGACTGACACCCCAGCCAATTCAACCATCCACTTCAGCTCTTCCAACTGCCAAGGAGACCGGATGAGAGGATTCTAGAGACGTTAGCCGGTCGCTTGAGCAGATATGTTTACCCACCTGGATCAATTCGTTCACGGAAACGGCAGACGTGGTTTCCGATAGGAAGACGACGGCTTTGGAAGTAGACGGCCAACGATATAGATCCTCCACGCCGACGGCATTGTCGTCTTTGACATATTTCTGCATCAGTTCCGTGGCGATACGGCCGACCGCTCTCAAGTCCCGATGGTCATCGTGCGAGGAGTCGACCTTGCGGCAATGCTCCTGGTTCGCTGCCTTGATGTCAATAGAGATCCCGCAGACTGAATGATTGCTCACCGATCGTGACCACCCCCGTGGGCCTGATGAGGACATTGGAGCAGGCCAAAGAACCGTGCACCAACCCTTTCGAAGCGAGGTAAGCGAGGCCGTTCAAAATCTGCTTCAGTCAGTATACAAGTGGGATGTTACCGCCCGACGCACCTGTCCGAGTATGGCGGCGAGCTGAAGCTCGGTAGGATAGGGAGGAGAGGCGGCGATCTGTGAGAGAGAGATAGGTATGTGTTCAAGAATGGCAAAAGAGCGTTCTTGGTACTGAAAGGACTCGAGGAAGGCAATAAAATTCTCGTGCCGGATCTGTTGTAGCATGCGAAGCTTCTCAACGCCCTCCGGCGTCTGAAGTTCCTTCACCATAACAACCTCGCACGGGGAGGCTTTTCTCATCGCAACAGTCGTAAAATCTTCGAGCTTCAATTCGTAGACTTTCTGAAACCTATTCCAAGGGGATTCGTCATGTATTTTTACATACTCGTGCGCTCTCAGCCCTGCCGCGACGGCCTTTGGCAAGTGAAGCCCGAGGGGTGCGGCGTTCTCATTGGACTCTCTCCTTTCGGGTGAGGAGGTTCTTTTTCCTTCGGGTTGCTTTGATACATCTTGAGGCACCGAGCGGTCCCAGAAACTCGATCCTGGCTCTTGGAACCCGGGTTCGGAGTGTGGAGACCGCACAACCCTTTTTATCTCTTGTAGAGCGATACGTGTCTTGCGTTTATCAGATGTAGAGGTCATCGTAAGTTTATGCGCGCAATAGCGATTCGAAGGTTCCAGGACGGACGATGGGGCAGAGTGACTCAAGGAACATGGAGGGAATCGTAGAACGAGATCGAACAGGATGGAAAGGCATGAAAGAGGCTGTGAATAACCACGTTACTATTTAAAGCGCACAATCAAAAGGGTGCTGTCAGGATGAGGGAGCCAGTTCTGTGGGCAGAAGGGGGAAGCCAGTTTTGGAGATTCACCTAAGGAAGCACAAATAGAAGGGTCGGTAGCTCCCAGGAGAGCACCGTGTTTCGTTATCTTTCCACGCATATTCTCTGAGAAGCTTGCTCAGAATGCCGCCGACCCGTACTCACGAGGAAGAGTTGAGAATCCAAGCGGAGAGAAAGGTGAAGTTCAAAGGAACAGCTTGTATCAGGCTCGAATGGCTACATTTCCAAGGAAAGAAGCCCAGAGAGCTCAAGAGGAAAAATGTCGAGAGGTTGAAATCGAACTTTCGGAAGAAATGTGATCGACTGCCCATAAAGAATCACATCCCCGCCTTAATAGAACAACAGCACCTTGATGTCGCCCTCCAGGCGTCGGGCATCTTACCGGCGACCCTGCTTAGTAATCCAGATGTCGGCTATCCGGATTTAGTTATCCCAGCTGGGTATCAGTTAGAATGCCTTCACGGTCGGCACCGAATTCAAGCTGCGAAGGAGGTCCTTCCCTTAAGGGATAAATGGTGGACAGTTGATCTTTATCTCGCGGGTAATGTTTTTGTCTGGTGCATCGAACGATCTAATCCGTCATTTCCACAGACGCCAACCGCGAGCTTAGAAGCTGTCTGATCGAGGATTATGCCAACGAGGAGAAGCCTACTGACGGCGAGATCTACTGCAAAATACGCCAATATCACTTTCAACACAATCTCAGCTTCGAACAGCAATGGTGGACATGGTTGACTCCACAAAAGAGCAAAAATTTAAAACAGCTTCTTCGGCACGATGACTACAGGGCGACTTTCGATGCTTTTTTGCAGATTCCGTCCCTCTTGGAAGGGGGACTGATACTCGGTATATGGCACAAGGTGGCGGCCGTCAGATGTGATGAGGTGAGTGGACTCGTCGATCGTTTCATCCACTAATCAACAAATAGCAATACTTGCGGTACCTCCATCACACCTTGGAGTTCTGGAGCATGCTCCTCCAACGAGACCTGGGAGCAATGGAAAAGGTGGATCAAGATACCGTCAAAGCTTTGGAACTTACAGCGCCGTGGGCATCCACTCTCGATGCGAAAGCGCTACGTAGCCAAGTGCTCGGCGGGGCGATCTTCAGCAATTTTACCAGAGACGAGCGTGAGGGAATCTGGAGGAGGTTGTCAGGGTTCAAAGGGCTGGTACCGTCCATACGCTCTTTTTTCAGGAATTATAGTTATGTGGAGGCTTGCATGAATTGCATAAAACGCTTAACAAGCCTGCGACCTGGAGAGACAGTGTCTACTGCATTGGAACGAGCATTTTCTAGCACGAGCTTAGGCCTGGATCATACGGTAATACAGGTTACGGAATCTACATTTAGGTCCAGGTCCGCAAGCTTCGGAGATCGGGTGGAACTGGGGTGTCGCCAACTGTACGCGTACGCCATGCGCCATTTCCTCGATATGCCCAGAGAGCCTCAAGCGCGTGACCGTCGAGCAACGTCGATAGCCAAAGCAGACCCAGCTGTACTGCGCGGGTTTGCTGATCTGGCTAGCCGACTGGGCTTTGACAGCCCAGAGATTATGGCTTTAAAACAATATCCGCATTCGACGGCCAATATCGTCAGCTCTGATGGATCGCGTCCATTGCTCGTCACGGCCGGTCCAGGTGAAAGCATAGACCGGCGATGGGGGTGCCCAGGGGTAGGGGACTACGAGGCAGATAAGGAATTCCTTTTCATCGATCACTTTCACGACACTAAAGAGGAACAAGGTGAGGGGATCACATCATTTTTCATTCGGAAATTTGTGTACTTGAATTTCTTCGGCAGACCGTCACCGGCCACCATCGTTTCCCCCACTCCGGACCATTCCACTACGGAGGTGAGAGTCGCATCGTCACTGAGTACCCATCCAGACCCACAAGCTCATTTGCAGCTGGTAGTCTATGAAGATCATCTTGGGTCCGACGACATGGCTGTGGACACTGGAACCTTACAAGATGAGAGCCAGCAACTGGACAACATAGACGTCGTTCAACAGGAGCAGGAAAGACTTGCGGAAGAACAAGCAGAGCAAGAGAGACTCGCAAGACAGGAGCAGGAGAGGCTCGCTAGAATCGAACAAGAAAAGCAGGAGCTGGAAAGACTCGCTAGAGCCCAACTGGAAAAGCAGGAACAAGAAAGGCTCACTAGAATCGAACAGGAAAGGCAGGAACAAGAAAGGCAGGCACAAGAAAGGCAGGAACAAGAAAGGCAGGAACAAGAAAGGCAAGAGCAGGAAAGACTCGCACAGCTAGAATTGGAACGAATCGCACAAGAGCAACGGGAACGGGAGAATCAGGCAAAAATGGAACAGAAAAGACAGGAGCAAGAAAGGCTTGCTAGAATAGAGCAGGAGAGACAGGAGGAAAGACTGGAACAGGAAAGACGGGAACAAGAGCGTGCGCGACTCGAGCGGGAGAAGCTAGAGCAGGAAAGGCACAAGGAAGAGCAAGAGCAGAATGAACGAGAGAGAGAAGAGCGACAAAGAGCCGAACAAGAAGACTTACTCGACGAAGACCTTATAGACCAAGTAGAAAGGGCACAAAAGGAAGAGTCGGTGCAAGCGCCAGCAGGCGAAGTCTCGACGTCGAGAGCTCCAAAACGTGGGACCCAAATTGATATTGAGAAGGCCATAAACGATTCCAAAAACCTTGATGACTTGCACAGCACTACGGACCAAAGGCAAGAAACTCCACAAGGCCAGACGCAGGAGACAGCAGAACACACGACTTCGGCACCGATTCCAACACCAGGTCAGGATCCAAGGGAAACTTTGATTGACTCAGCGGCCTCGGCAGCAAGGCTCGCCAGGCTGGACACCACCAAGATCCGTATCAAGTTTAAATTTCTTGAAGAAGGCATCTGGAAAGATATTACCTTTCGCGACGTTGACCCTTTCGATCCATCCGAGATTGAGCGCATGGCAAAAGAACACATGAGACAGGGAATGAGGCCATTCGATACTGAGTTGCGTTTGTTGGCTCCATGCGATTGCTTCCCAGCGGTCGTCGCCGATGGGACAAATACGATACTCTTGGTTCCTGAGAGCAAAATCAGCATCACTGAGGAGCTTAGATCTTCAGCATCGGACGTTAGAATCGATGCCTTATCTCACCAAGAGCGTATACTCAAACGAGTCACGAACGAGGATATATCTCAACTGCATCATCTGCGGAAGAAGCAGAACGCGAGAACATTAAGATGAGAGAATGACTAGTTGCCATGACTTAGGTTATGAGGTGTAATTAAGAGAGTTGCCACTGAAGGTATATCTCAACGGCATCACGTGCGTAAGAAACACCAGGGGACGGTTGGTATATGAAATGGGTTGTCTTTAGGGATTGCATAACAGCTTGTCCACATGAATAACCTCCGATCGAACAGTCATTTTAAACGCTTGAACATAAATAAGCCATTCCCGCCAAGCACAAGGGGCTATGTTAATTAACACGTGGCTTTAAACTTGGCCCAAGTTTGAAGGTCTTGGCGGACCTTTTCTCCAATACCCAGATAGTAAACGCAAATTTCTGCATGGTCTTTATAGCGACAAATAGTTATTTTGACCCCTCCGCGCGTCAGGTGCGCTAGCCCTAATCCCAGCTCTGACTCTCCGCCAGAGCTATACAGGGCACCGAGGAAAACCCAGTGAGAATTAGGAAGTCTCTTAAGTTAGGAGCATTTTCTTGGGAGGGTTAGGAGTCAATTGACCCTAGCTTACTTCGAAAGGGATTACTAATAGAACAACACGGCTCCCAAAAGACTGTACCTGGGATAAGGTTCGGGCTAGCTCCAAAATGAACGTAGAAAAAGGGTTGCTAATATTTAGACCAGTCTTTGAAAACGTTCAAACGTTTCCAAAGATTGGTCAACCAAAGAGATCAGCCACTCAAAGCGGCTAATCAGCCAGAGCGATTTCGCTGACTAGACGCTTTCAATGACCAGTCTCTTTGAGTGACCAGTCTCTTTGAGTGACCGGTCTCTCTGTAGGGAGGTCCACCGTTTACATAAATAGCAAAAGCCTTTTCAAGATTGTTCTATTCTAGCGACCAGGCTCCTCCTGAACCATTCCCGCCAAGGCTGTTGTCAATGAACACGTGTCTTTAAACTTGGCTCAAGTATGAAGGTCTTGGCGGACCTTTTCTCCAAAACCCCACCCAAATGTTTTCTTGCTTTGACGGCAATCCGACCATGAAATGCTTAACTCCTTGCTCTTAGGACTCTTGCGAATGTTCTTTCCCCACGTACCTAGCAGACCCAGAATCGACCCAGAATCCTCGTAATGGTGCGTTCCGAAGACCTTTCTCGAGAGAATTGCTCCCAAGAAAAATTTCCCAAGAGCCACTGATGAATGACCATCAATTCGCCGAGAATTTTAACGAATCCCCTAGGAATATTATCATAGGAAAAATCTCCTGAGATGTAAGGTCGGTACCCGACTTCTTGCAGCCATTGTATGTATGATCGCCGAGGTATTTTACAGAATGACCTAGATCTCAAGGCCAATAGCTTCTCTTCCAGTATGCGCCTTTCTTTCACGCACTGCCTGAATTGCTTCTTCCGAAAAGGAAGCCAAATTAGTTCCTTTCGTCATAGATTCGTGACATGGGCTTCCCTAAAGCAAACCTTAATCTGTTGAACCCGGAACGTGAACTATTGATGGCTTGCACCGTGAATCCCGCCCAGATCCTCCTTTCGTTCCGGTACGATTCCAAAGATCCCCTTGACATTTTATTAGTAGAAGATTTGGTGGTATCTGGCGCAGTTTACCTCAACTTGGCCTTTGAGCTCCCCGTAAATGTCATCTAGAGCCCTTTCACAATCAACCTAATCACAGTGAGTGACCATCTCTCCGGTACTAATGACTAGCTCGCACATCAATAACCTTCCCCATGAATGCCCCGGTGACGCTTGAGATCTCCTGCACATGTCCAGCGTATCTCCTGCGAAAAACCTCGGTGGTGTCGTCAACTCTCTCAGACATTTCGGCTCTTTTCAACATGCGCGAGAGCATAACGTCTTCAGAGCAATGAAACTGAAGAACTGCCTTTGCCTTCCAGCCCTGCAATAACAGTCAATCTCTCTTCCCTGAAAACCTCAATTGGAATTATACTTTCCTCTCCATCAAAGAACTGAGCCTGCTCCTTGCTCCTTGGGAACCCATCGATAAGGAAGTTGACCCGCCCATTCCGCATGTGCTTAACGAGGCAGATGTCGAGAATGTTGCGGACGTAGTAGTAAGGAACGAGGGACGCGTTTCTCATGATGGTCTCAATTTGGAGGTCGCGATTGAGAGATGGCCTTACGGCATCTTCCCTCAGGAGCTCGCCAACAGAGATGTGCACAAGCCCGAGATCTGCGGCGAGTCTTGCGCATTGGGTTCCTTTACCTACTCCGGGACCTCCTGGGTGATTTGGTGAGCAACGCATCTGACAACAATAGTAAGAGCGCTCCAGAGATCTCACCGACAACGCAAACAATCTTGGCGGCTTTATAGTCGATCCATGCATTTTGAGTCGTCTCCATGCCTGACAATACACTTTGTGCTTTGCGAGTGATGACCTGCTTTCGTTTGTTCTTTTTGCGCTACCTTGGGGGTCAAGTCCACAGTTATGGTTACTTTATGGTTTATTATTGGTTGAGATTTCTTGTCCAGCAGGCAACAACATGCAGGCAGCCGATGCGACCCCTCACAAAGTGTCAGCCTTACAGGTTGTTTGTGAGCATGAAAGCTCGTGAAGGATTCTTATCGACTAGTATCTCTATATCCATCCTTACAAGTTCATATTAGACATGCTCACTCGTACTTCTTTGGGAATAACCACAGTCCTCCTTGGCCTCATCGGGTTGATTTTCGCGTCGTACCAACTCTTAAAATCCGGGGGCAAGCGACGGAAAATCCCAGTCTCCGTCAACTATCACCTGACTAGGCATTGCAACTATTCCTGTGGTAAGGAAATCTAGTGTCCTAATATGAATTCTATTTGAGAGACCATGACTAAGTCCACACAAGGATTCTGTTTCCACACGGCTACGTCGTCACATGTTGAGCCTCTTCCTAATGCGAAGAAAGCCATGGCTATTCTCAGAGCTGCCGGCATGAAGAAGATCAACTTTGCTGGCGGAGAACCCTTCATGAATGCTGAGTTTCTTGGCCAACTGGTCATGTATTGCAAGGAAACTCTCAATTTGGAATCTGTCTCCGTAGTCACAAATGGTAGCAAAGTGACAAAGAGATGGCTCGCCAAATATGGCGAGTATCCGGACATCATGGCCATCTCCTGTGACTCTTTTGATGAAACAACAAATGTTAAAATCGGAAGAGGTACCGGTAACCACCTCAAGACGGTCGTGGAACTGAGTCAAAAATGCAAAGAGCATGGTATCATGCTGAAGATCAATACTGTGGTGAATCGCTACAATTTCCACGAAGATATGAACGCCGCCATCGAAGAGATACAGCCTTTTCGCTGGAAATGCTTTCAAGTGCTCATCGTTCCAGAAGAGAATGGGTCCGAGCATACCCTTCGTGATGCAAGGCGTTTCCTCATCAGTGATGATGAGTGGCGTCTTTTCAACGAGAAACACAGGCATCAGGAATGTTTCGTCCCAGAAGGCAACGATGTTATGGCCAGCTCTTACTTGTTGCTAGACGAGTACTTGCGTTTCCTCAATAAGGGGTGGGAGAGCCGACAAAAAGTATTCTAGAGATTGGGGTTGCGGCGGCATTGAAAGATGTGTACTGGGACGAAGATGGGTTTGAGATGCGAGGCGGGATATACCAATGGTCGAAGTCGGATTGCTCGGGAGACTCTCCCAAGCCTGATCTGGACTGGTAGAAATGGTCCGCAGAACAGGATTTGTACTTTGTTCGTATAAGCCGTTGTATCAGTGATAGGGAGGGAGGACCATTGCACGAAAGGCAGCGCGACAGTTGAGTGGCATGGTCTCATTTGGTCTCGAAGCATTTGCTCTTCTCTTCTGATTTATGAGTAGCTCGGCACTGTGTGAACGACAGCACAATTCAAGACCGACTCATGCTTTCCTTGCCTTACCCAATGCCTGCAATTGTTTGAATGCCTAACATCCTGATGATCAAAAATGGATGTAGCTGGACCAATCCGATACCAGTCATTCCTTCTCATATCACAAGCTTAGTCCTGATAGGCTTGAAGATGACAGCCCAATCCATAAGTTCACACATTATTACGAGGATATTTTTCAAAATAAGCTGTGAGCTTCCCCTTTGGCTTGGAGCAATCGAAGAGCCATGCGTAGCGAGCCAAGAAGACATCAATATCCGCATGCGCCTTGTTTGCGTCCTCTGCAAGTAGTTCCACCTCGCCAGCTGAGTGCCCAAAGTCCGTCTCATCGAGCACGACAATGAACTTTCCGTCCGCGAGAAATGACCGCCGGTGAGTTACAAATCGACAAGTCTCTTCTAATCCAAAAGACTCATTAGGTCCAGCGCATTTGGGGACGCAATTTTTGACCATTTGCCAAATCCGAATTGGGTCTTGTGTTTCATCATAGGTTGAGCGCACGAAAGAACTCCCTGGCATGGATTGTTTGGCTTCCCACATGCCGGTCTTTGACCTATCGTCTTGCTTGTGAGGGTTGTAAAAACGCTTTCGGACCCAGAGACCCTTGCTGGAGAGCCTATTGTCCAGATCATAATAGGTGTCGCGGAATATTTTCGATTGAATCGTGGGACGTGAAGAGAAAGGAGGCTGGCCCCCATTCGACAGCAAAATGTTGAGGCTGGCTGGGTTCCAGGTGAACTTTCGCTCAATCTCTAGAAGCTTCATCGAGACACGAAACCGGATAGCTGATTATCTCCAGGGCCACCTACCCAGAGCGGGCGTAGTGAATGGTCACTTGGCTTTGCAGTCGCTGGGTCTTCGAGCCGAGCCGACACTCAGCACTTCTCGGCATAAAGTTGGGCCGACTAGTTTTGCAGTAGGAATGACTGGGCCCTTGACACCATATTAGTCATCCTAAAAGGCCGACGCGGGGTGTTCACCTTCAATCTTCTCAGCCCTTTCGCCATCGGGTTTAAACCTACCACGCAATTGAATTTACCAGGTCCTTGACGACTTTCTAACTTGGCCTTTCAGAACTTGTTAGGAAATTTTGAATTGGTAGGCTACGCAACACTATTTTTTTGGGCGAATAGCTAAGACTCATCGGTCTTTCAAAAGTCATAAAGCATTTCAAAGATGTCAAGTACCTCCTACTTTACCGGAGCACCTTTATGTCCTGGATGCAACCAGGAAACATCAGATGAGATAACCCAAACGACCACCCCAGACAGGGACATTGGAAATTTTGGTCGTCCTTACTACACGTGCAAAACACCAAACTGCACCGACCGGTTTTTTTGTTTTGATGATTATCGCGGCATCACTGACGATAATCCACCATGCCACTGTGGGAGACCCTCTCGACGTACTATTGCAGGAAAAGCTCCGTACGACTCTTCGTACCTGCGACTCCGATGTTCAAGAGGCATTTGTGGCTACGAAATCCGGGAGCTTGCTCAGAATGGTCAGCCAAAGACAACCGCTCGAGGAGATATTCAAGAGTGGGTTGGATTGGGAAAATTATAAGCATTTGTGTCCGACTTTGTCGGGCACCACATATTCCCGCTGTTTTTCATTAACATTGCCAAATGTTAGCAAAGGTTATGGTATTTATGGTGGATAAGCAAAGCTCGAAAGGTGTATGCTGCCACAGGAAGTTTACATATGAAAGAGAAATTGACGATTATATCTCAAAGCTGAAGAGTCATTGGCTATTCATGAAAGCTCTGCTTTGAAATTCGGGCCGGGATCAATGAAGACGAGCCAACGAAAGAAAGTGTAAACACCCACAAATTAGCTCTTTATCGTCTCGAGGACGCGCGACCCATGACTTTGTTAAGTTTGTATCAAATTCTCAACGAGATTTTTTGCTAAGAGTATCCTACCATGAGTAGGTGAACGCCATAGCAAGACATATCTCTACCATATCAAAGGGTAGGTTAAACTCCTATCCTCAGTATCAACCCAAGGATTCAGCGGCTCAGTGTTATCCTGGTAATCTCGAAGCGCCCGCTCCCAATCCCTATTCGAAATATCCTCAACCGGCTTCAAACCTATTTTCTCCTCCAAATATCTCGGCCAGTACTTGGCATAAAACCCGCAAATCTCCACCGATTCCTTCAGCTTGAGCTGTGCCAGGTCGCGGATAAAGACAACGCTTCTTCCCAGTCCAATATGCACTATATCCTCTATGCTCCACGGTTTCCGTGTGCCCCAAGGTCCCACTGCGTCCCAGGAGACGGTTAACCGTTGAAGATTCGTTGCGTCTTGCTGCAGTTTATCGAAAAGTCGGCACCATTGCTAAGGACTAGGCGAATCGGAGACCACCGCATCAACAAAGATGAAGAGATCGGTGATTAGAGCGGCACTGTTTGTGCTGAGCCAAGTCATAAGGGCGCCGGGTTGCGACACGTTAATAGTGAGAGATCGGAGGAGATCGCTTGGAGCATCATTGAGGGAGTTAAGTGTCTGTAAAATAGGGTCGACTCCGTCCTCCCACCTGAACCCTTGTACGACTATGGAAATAGATGTATGGCGGGGAATACATAATGAATTAACGGGATATCGCCAACGTTTTGGAGCCTTAGGTAACTTGGCTGGAAAGAGAAGATCATTATGGAGGAGAAACCACGTGAGAGCAAACCCAGACCCTGCATGACTAAGCGTTGGCGGGGTTGGAGCCAGCCAGCCACGCAGCGCATTTGTCTTGGTTTTTCTTTCTAGTCAAATGCAGGGACAGAAGGAAAGGGATTATTTACTTAAGGACATAATGTGCACCAGATAAATTGGAAGGAAAAGCTAGTAGCAAAACACGAATATTGCTGTTGTGACTGAGACCTAGAACTAGATCCTGAAAGCTTGATAATCAGCGCCGACTTCACAGCCGGCCAAACAAGTCAGCGCTTGTCGGCTTAAGGTTGGACCGGCTAATTGCCTCGTACAGCGATTGGTTGCCCTTGACATCCTATTAAGTCATCCTAAAGATCGACGTGGGATTGTGCTACCACTTCGCTTCCAATATTATCCAGTTCTCACTTGTGCATGTATAAACGCATTTAACAACTGCGCCGTGTGGTCACCCTATCGATAACCTCGTTCTCATCTGCTGTACTGCTGCCATCTTTTGTCGACACATCTCAATATCCTATGGATGGAACAGTCAGAGTAACCCCTTATTGAAAAGCGTTGTGCCCGGAAGAGCAAGGAACAGCAGGAACAGGAGATATGATAATACCAAAGCGGGCTGAAAAGACCACAGAAGCCATAGATCGAAGAGATCGAGGAAGAAGGGACAGCTCACGTCCCTCATAACCTCCAATATTCCCCACCACCGTCCCACCACCTCCTCGACACTCTTCAACATCTCCTCACCCTTCCCTCTCTTCCCCCTTCCAGCAAATCTCCCCCTCACGCTTCCCACCAACCCCTTGACCCCTTCATCCCTCACAGGCGCACACGCACCCAACACCAACTTCCCTAACCACTCACTAAACTCCACCAAATCAAAGGCCTCTCTCGCGAAATGATCCTCCAGCCTCTTAGGGTTAAGAAGAACGGCAATGTCCGCTTTATGGCATGGTGGAAGGAGGTAGGTTAGTGGGACCTTTAAGGAAGTGAGGTGTTGGATGAGGAGCTGATGGTGGGGGGACAGGGAAGGGGGGCTGAGGGTGGAAGAGGGGGGCTCTATTGGGAGAGGGGGGAAGTGGGAAGGAAGGAGGACGAGGGAAGGGCCTCGAGGGCATTTGGGGCGCTGGTGGTATGGAGGTGTTGGGTGTGCCGGTGGTTTGTTGGTGAGTTGGTCGGTGGTTTGGGGACGAGCAAGGAGGGTGGCACAGGTGGGTCGAAACGTCGGATACTGCTGTTGAGAGATCTTGCTGGTTGTGCAAAGCTGTTGATGAACACGTACGGATACTTTTGCTGTCTTGTCAAACCGTGTGCTTGGAGTGAAGGTCGGTGACTGCTGACATTGCTGGCTTCGTCTTTCAGGTACATCTTTTCGAGTTGGTCTACCAACAGGCTAGGCTGATGGAGCAGCTTAATCATTGGAAAAACGCTGGGCGGCGCCGTTCGATCTGCAGGAGACTCATCGGGGCGTCTCTCCTTGTCCAGACATATTTCCTTGTCGCTGATATTTTCGAGGAGAATGCTAATACTTGTAGTTGGGCCACAATCTCTAACTTTTATCGTCATCTTGTAAGAGATGAATGCTCTCGTAAGAAAATGCTGGGTGCACGGTCTCGCTTGGATTTTGAACGACGATAATTTGTACGACATTTTGATACTGCACCGGAACGAGGAGTTGCTCTAATATCAGACACAGGGAGTTTCTAGGCATCACGTAGAGGCAGAGCTTCGCCTTGCGGCTGTCGATCTTCCTCCATGAAATCCTGGTGAGGCAATGCAATGGGAAATGACCAGTTGCGGATGCTACATCCAGAGCGCCTTGTTGATACATTCAAAAGTCTTAGTAAAGCACCTTTGCCTAGCGAGTTTCCTACTCGGAACATGTTGAAGCACTGTGGTTCCACACAGTTCTTGGCCCTTGCGAACATGAGAGCTGAGCGACAAGGCAAGGCGAGTCAGTAGGCCGCAAGAAATAATGGGGCCAATGCTTAGATCTGCGTCTCTACGAACATCTGCGCAAGGAACCCTTGAATAGCGCAGAAACGAATACATACTAAACAAGGTCTTACAATACTGTACAAGAGAAAAAAAGGTAAGTGGTTCTTGCGTCTGTATGCAAGGGCCAACTAGCACTGATCTCATATCGAACGCCACACGATTTTCAGATCGGTTCAGTAGCCAATCACCAGAATATTGCCTCGGCAGCCTTGATGCATGGGTGACAAGTCAAGGCGAGGCGACTGCGCTAGCCATTCATGGCCAAATTTTTCAATCCGCAAGGCGCGCTTTAGGGCTGAGTAGTTTTTCTGCTTGGACCCTTGATGGGAGCAAGTTATGGTTTGAACAAACGCTATCATTTCGGGGACCGAGGCTACTGGGTCTATACTGCTGTCTACCGGTTGTAGGAGATGGTTTCGTTGACGAGACTGCCAACTCTGCATTTGGTGACGATCCCTGGTGTATCGCAGTTACTGCAATCAGTTTCGTTGATGGAATGTGAGCCCCCTGCGCCAACAGCCGTTCTGCTTGGAGGTGTGATGGACAGGTGCGGTTTGGGATTACAAAAGGGTAAGCCCAGAAGAATAAGTGTTACAGGTGTAATATACTCTACAAAACACAAGACAGTATTTAAGGAAAGAAGAGGGCATAACATTCCTATAGCTTGAAATTTCTTTTATCGCCCCACCGCACCATACTAACAAAGTCCGAACATAGCACCAATCACTATAGCAAGGGCTAGCGGAACATTAAACTATGCGCTCTCCGTATAAGTAACAACAGCAACTACAACCCACTATAGCTCTTTTGCTAGACTTTGTCCACGACTAACTTCGGGGGTTAAATAGCTAATCTCCTAAAATCTATAAACTGCTATAAACACTAATCCTACAGCTATTGCGTTCACTCCTTAGAGTAAATTTACTACTTACTTCTTTCTCTGCAGAATTCGCTAAAAGCTCTACATAGCAACGGCTAGGGTAATACTAGGATAGAATATCCTTAGAAACCTAAGGAATATACTAAAAATAGTAGGTAAAGGAGAATATTATAATGCAAACGCACTAAGATAAACTACGAAGTTGAAGTTAGGGCTAGGGAAA